AGGCAGGGTCAAAGCTACAATGGTGCTGACACCAGAAAACCATTCTGACATCTTACCTTTACAGACGTACCAAAAGTTTCTTCTTAAATCTAATAGCTTTGAGGCTATAAGTTATTTACTTTTGTGTGTTTTTGTCAGGCAGAAATTTATTTATACCCCCTTAGGGTGTAAGAGGTTAAGGTCTTCCAGTTAACTTAATGTCTGCATTTCTGCATCCCTTTTTGCTACATGGTCATTAATATAAACATCCGCATCTTTAAGCAACTTTCCTTTGCAAACAAAAGCACGGCTGACAGGCTCAAGTGAATTTGAAAGCCATATCAATCCCTTTACTCTGTAGTAAGATGGTCACCTGAACCAACAACTGCTTTAATAATGCAAATTTGAGATGGAATCTAGAAATGTACCCTTCTACCTTCCAAATGTTTGCAAAATCTCTCTCAAATGTCTTTTGTTTGTTCTTTGTCTTTCATCTAGCGAATACAAGTGAAGAAGGACTTGTACCTAAAGCTGGCTGCACTCCCAGAAAAAGAAGGTATTTAAACTTCAAAAAGCTGTACCATTGCAACTTCGCCTTTAAACCTAAAGGGTAATACAGTAGAGGATCGTGTATTATACTCTGTTATTGTTCATAATAGAAAATTTTCATTTTCATAAAGCATCATTGCTGCTGACTTGTATATAGAGCCTTTGGCCAACTCTAGTCCCTACTCGGTTACATGTCCTCTGTTACTACCAGGTGATATAGTGTCCCCGACTTGGGGTTTACCTCCTGTCATTCCCTGAAGCCTCACTTGCTGATCTTTCACTGGGGCGACTCCCTTTGCAGTGATTCAATACGATTTGCCTTGCTACCATGAATGTTGGTGAAGGCACCCCTTACCTGCTCGGCATTGGGATGCAATATTGTCAGTTGCTTAACAAAATTTAAGTTTAGAATTTGTAGAGGTATTTGGTAGTAAAAAAAATTACCATAAAGTAACGTTATAAAACTGTATCATGTACAGGTTAGGACATGTCTTTCTGACCTTATCTTTTTTTTTAATCCTCAGCTGTTAAAGAACTGAAAGCAATTGTCAGACAAGACCTTCTAGTCTCATCCACTTCAGCTGATGTAATCAAAGCCTTTCAACAGAAAACTAGAAGGTCCTCTGAAGTTTCAAGAACACGTGGTAAATCTTAAATCCTGGCAATAATTTTTCTAAAAGTATTTAAGGCTTTTTAAGGGTCATCATTATCATTGTTTCCCCTTTCCCCCTGTGTCTCTGCTCATAAGTGTGTGTGCAACCAGCAGAGATTTCAAGACTTCCTGGTAATAACTTATCAGAGCAGAATGGTGAGCGACTTCAGCAGAAAAAACCTCTCTGTGAGAAGGAAAGGGCAAAGACTGCTGGTGAGAACATGAAATTGCTCTTCATTTTCCTTGCTTTCTATGTTTTGAAGTGATTCTATATAGATGGCTAGATAATTATATGCATAAGTGTACTTAAATGGTCATATTGGTTTAAAATAATCGCATTTTAGATTTTTATCAAAATTGTTCAGCCCTATAAATCTCCAAGTACTTCTTGTATATATTTTTCTATATATCAGTTTATTATTGATCTTAGCTTGTCACTACTACATGGTATGAATTTATTTGTGTTTTTTTTTTTCATTGTAAAGTCCTGTCAGCTATTTACCCGACTCAAGATAACTTCCAGCCTTCTAACAGATGTGACACAATGGATTCTGATTCTGCTTTAGGTCATGAAGGTGATGAAGTGGGAAGATGATCAACATTTTACAATTACTTCCAGAACAATATTTAATTCTTTGTTTCATTTTAGAAACCGTCAAACAGAATCAAAGTAACTGTGACACTGTTGCTGCTCCTCATCATCATAAAGTTACACCTGCATGTCCTGGTATGCAACATTTAATTTGGTATGTAACTTGTGTTGCCTTACACACCATCTAAATTCATTTGCACAAATTCCCCACCTTTTGTCTAACAGGAGTAAAAGCGGAAAATGCAGATTCTATTTCTGCCCTGGAAAAAGATTGTTTAAAGAGTTCTTTTCCCTTAAATGAAATCTGCAGCCCCCAGAAACAAACGGGTCTGGTACAAATGAGACCAAAAGGACTGAGCTTGAAAGAAGAAGCAGCCCCAAAAAACGACTCGGCACCACAAGAGTACTGTGAACTACAGTTTTCCCCCATTACTTTCTATGGTTGGTGTTGAGCATTTGTGTTTAACTTTGTTTTGGTACTTTATAACCACCTTGAGTGATGAATTGTTCATACAGGGAGAAAAGCTCCAGGCTGCAGTAATTTGTTCCTTTACTTGCAAGTAAGAGAACTGGATGCTGAAAAGGTTATCGGTGAGTGTCTTGACGCCCTTAGCTTTGATCATTTTTCACAGGATGATGTAGCTTATCTGAATAGTCTGCACTCACCAGGTATAGACTCTGTCTGGGAGTGCAGAGGGATATGTCTGGACACTTTCTTTCTGTGTGAAAGTTGTGAAAAAACCATCTTATGCCGCAACATCTTTGAACATATGACCAACCTTAGCCACCAACTCGAATACATGGTGAGGGTTTGTATGAAAAAATGTATAAAGTGGTTAAATACAGGAATTTATTTGTAAGGCTCTTGATGTTTCAGAGGAAAAGGCATCCTGAGTTTCTGAAGATATTCTGGCTGCAGAAGGATCTTCCTCAAGCATTACAAATGAACATTTTGCGAGAAGTTGTCAGAAGGCTGGCAGAGCGTGACCGTGCCTTTAAGGTTGATGCAAAGGTATTTATTTTTTCAGTTTATTTTTAATGGCTAAGGATTTGTGTTGCTCTCAATTTGGGAAATATTTAGGATGACAATCAACCCATTTTTCTTAAAGTGCATAATACTGAAACAAGAGTTGCATCAGTTTGTCAGGACGGCTCAATTCAATGAAGGTAAAAGCTTTACTTCCACACATCTGTCATGTTTACATGTTATATGCTTAGTTTGTATAATTATTTTGCCTCTTTAACAGCTTTGAAAATTGTGCGGAATATCCTTAGCGAAGAGAAAACAACGTTCCATCTATCATCCGGTCTTGCAGCCAGTGAGTAACTCTTGTATCTTTCTGGTGAGCATAAATAAGTTGCAGGAACTGCTCAATTTGTTCCTTCAGCATTGCATAGTTTTGCAGTTGTTGCATGGGTTCTTTGTCATCAGGAATTATCTGCTTTCCCCCCCTCCCCAACATCCCCTGCAGCAACATTTGCAGTATAGAAGCAAATTGTACTGCCTTATGTAGTCTTATTCGTGACCTAATGCTCGCTTGGTAACACAGAGTATGCAGGATGTAGACAGGGTCTATACATGCTGAAAGTCACGTACGAATCTTGGCAAAAACCGGGTTCTTAGTGGTTGACTTGCATGCAGTCGGGTCACAGGCCAAGAGATTTCCATCAAGTTTTCGACAGAGCTCCCAGTCGTGCACGTGCATCCACACAGTGCAATATTGAAACTATAAAAGCAGCCTGAAATGGAACGCTTAACTAACTTGGCTGGCCAGGCCTAACCCTTTTCTGATCGAACCCATCCTGTTAAATGACGCTGCAACTCTGTCTCAGGGTGTCTGTAATCTTCTTATAGTCAGATCCTCGGTGCTTTACTATGAGGTGCTATGTTGAACATTCAGTTTCCAGTCCCTCTCCAGCTTCTAGGATGACCTCTGGCTCTTCACTTTAGCTTCACAACAGGGTGATCTACTTGGCTTTCCTTGGATGCTTTTATAAGCTTTAAACTCTAACCAGAGCTAAATTTAGCTGACCTTCTTTCAAAACTGGACAATTATGAAAAAATTGAACTGTGACTCACTTGGATAAAGCTTCTTTGATGGGGATTATATTACTGATGAATCAATCAGAAGTAATGTTTATTTAGCACCTTTCACAGACTTAGAGGACACAAAGTGTGTCACAAAATTACAAAACAAATAAAATACATTTACAGTCACAAAAAACATGGTCATAAAACAACCCTTTATCTACTAGAATTAAAATGCTTTCTTAAACAAATAGGTTTTCAATTTACTCTTAAAAAACATCAACAGAATCAAGCACAAGAAAGGCAGAAGATTGTTCCAGGCTTCATTAAGGGAATGTTCTCCACTGGTCCGTAATGAGTACGAGGGACCATGAGCAGGTTCAGGTCCTGAGACCTCAACCACTGAGAGGGGGGGTATATGGACACAACAAATCTGTAATGTAGGAGGGAGCCTGACCATGAAAGGCCCTGAAGGTCAGCACCAGGATTTTAAACTGGAACTGAAAGTAGATGTTTAGCTAATGTTTCAGCAGTCATAATATGCAGCTGATATCCGAAAGCGATTCAGTTTTTCTCTCTGAAGTTTACCTGAAGAAAATGAACTGCTGAAAATAGTTTTGTGCTTTTCTGTCATTGGTAAATTGCAGAACAATGCCATCTGCCAAGAGGGGTAGTTTGACATCAACATTTAACTGGAACATGGGGGACTGGTCCTTTTTGAGAGTGAAAGTAAATGCTGTTTTGATTACTTGTTTTGCCTTATGAGTCAAATACCTCTGCAGATGGCTTTATATAAAGTTATGTCATGGCTCTTGGAAAGTCGAAATGTTTTCCTTTGATAATGTATTCTTCCTTGTTTGAAGGAAGTTCTGTTACAGTCTTTAATTTTCTTTAGCTGCTTAAACCTCCTTATGTTTAAAAACCAAAACGCTTGCTACCACTATTTTCCTTCACTACCTTTCTTTTATTTCATTTTAGAGGCTGAAGAGAAAGGCAAGCGCAGTAATCTGGAAGACAGTTTCATTGTTGGAGCATCAGCAGTGGTAAAAGCCTTTAGCCCTGTGAAAATGACCTCCACCTCTTTAAAGACTAATCTGTTGGACCCTTCAGCCCATGATCCAGGAGAAACTCTGGTTCAGTTTACCAATCCTAATGCATTCGTAAAGCGAGAGTTTAAATCGGCTGTCTCCTACCCTCAAAGCTTTGGTGAGGAATTGGTCCCAGAAACATCCTGCAGTGCTGTCAAGAACAGCCTGTCGGCATCCGTTGGAGCACAAACCAGAAAAAGAACAGCTGAGGTATCTCTAAGCCTACATCAACTGAAATATCCCACGCCTGCTAAACGTACATTTCTTCTACAAAGGCTGAAGAGTGAGCCTGGTTCTCCACCCTCTATGACCCCTCCACTGAACTCTGTTGCACCCTCTTCTTCGCTTGCTATGAAAGATGAAGGCTCCAGCTCCATAAAAGCTACATCCACTCTGGATCAGGATTTTCTTTTGAAGCCAATTCCTGGCATGAAATGGCAAACCTCCAAGAAGAACCACCACTCTGCATTGGCTAAGGATCATATAACCGGCATAAAGTCTGAAATAGTGTCACGAACCTGTGATTCAAAGTCCCAGCTTATTAAAGCTGAGGCGGAGATGAACCGAGCCTTTAACTCTATAGAAGGGAACACGGTGCCAAAACCTGATCCAGACTACAGGAAGGAACCTCTGTCCTTTGGTGCTTCAGCAGCAACCATCTCGTCCCCTGAGGACTTTCTAGAAGGGAGCACAGTGACCAAAGTTATACCATTGACTGAGGTGGCTCCTTCTACTGACTTACAGAATCTACAATTCTTTCATTCCCAAAAGATCTGTAGAGTTGAGTCCTATGGTACGTCTACCAACCATATCTCAGGACAAATACCAGATCCAAAAGGTGACCTAGAATCTGACTGGACTCTGATTAGTCAACCATCTTCTTTTAAAGATGAAATTTTAAACCCAGATAAACACTTCTTTCAAGGTAGCTACGAAGGACTGACTACACCTTGTTTTAACAGAAACCATCAAATTGGTTTCAACACTTGCCCACCACCAGCAGGCTCATGCTGTGCTGAAGCTTTTGAAGGTTATAATCCACACAGCCAGTTAAGTGACATTTCACATCAACAATGCATGTACCCGATCTACCCTCAGCCAGTCATTCTGTTTAGTCCAACAGTTCAGTTGCTTCCAGGAGTGGGTGTTTTCCACATCCCCTGTTACTCATGGGCAGCAAGGATGGGAAGGTGATCTGTAAAGCTTTTAGACTTGTATGAAGTTGTGAATAAAAGTTCTCTGAGGAATTGTTAGAAATCATTTATTTTATACCTGTTACTTCAGATTGTTACATTTCTTTGTGCATAAAGAATCACATTTTTCATGTGGAACTAAAATGGTTTGTGATGAAGAAAATTGTTAAAGTTGCTTTTATATTTAACAAAGTCTGGTTTTCTTCGAGTTTGTTATATGTTTCTGCCCTGGAAAAACATAGCCAATTGTAGATCTTGAATTGTATGTTGATTATACAATTAAATCCACAAACATATCCTCACCACAGCTGGAGAGTCCATTGGAGGCCATCTTGTCTTTCAGACATTAAGGTATATAAGCAGAGAGAAATGTGAGGTACGGATGGGAAAACCAGGTCAGTGTAGCTGGGTGCACTTGACATTAATTATGGTTGATTTTGTCATGATCGGTACACGAATGTGACCCAATTATGCAGAACACCACGAGGCAGGAAACAGATGAAAAGTTAACAGAGTTTATTGAATACAATCCAACGATAGTATGTTCTGGTTCTGGTCCTGGGCAAACGGGTTCACCGGAGTCTGTGAGGAAGACAGTTAGTTAGCTGGGCTCTTAGCGGTTTGTCCTTAGATAGTCTCTGGCTTGTACCTTGTGGGTCCTTGAATGGATCTTGGAGAGGACGGTTGTTGTTTCTCGAGAGAGTCTGATTAGCTGAGTCCGTTAGCTGCTTCAGCGTCTTGCTTCTAGGTAGGTAGCTGACCTTGAGTTTGGGTTTCCAGCTCTCATGTCCAGAGCTGCATGGGAACTCGAGGAAGTCTTCTGGTTTGGCTCAGAGGGCAGGCTCGGCGGGTTAAGCTCCTCCAGAGCTTCACAAGGGAAAAACTGGTTTCCTGGAAAAACAGAGATAGAGTTAGAATCCAGCTGGGATTCAAAGTCAACGAAGGTTCTCAGAGGTTCAGGGCTTAGGTGCTAACCAACTGGCTCAACACTGCGGCGTTGAGGCAAGGTCTGAAGACAGCTTAAGTAGTGGGTCCTCCTGATGATGGTAACGAGCAGCAGCTGTGCAGAGGGCTCTGCTCAGGAGGATCCACGGCGGACTCTGCTGGAGAAGAGAGGTACTTCTCCAGCCTCCAACAGATTTGAGATCAGTTAATGTTCTGATTAATCACATTAAACATCGGAGTTATTTTGGGGAATTTGTTTTGTAATTTTTTTTTTTCTGAGATGTAAATAAACCACTTTCTACACTGGACATCTGCCTACTGCCTTCTTCAGCCACTTTGGCCAGCCTATCTCCCACAGTAGCACCATAGAGGGAATTCTCACCAGCTGTCTCACTGTGTGGTGTGGAGGCTGCAGCGCCGCAGACTGGAAGGAAGTGAGAAGAGTGGTGAGAACAGCAGAGAAGATCATCAGGGCTCCTCTTCCCTCCATTAAAGACATTTCATCTCAACGCTGCGTGTCCTGAGCCTGTAACATAATTAATGACCCCTCACATTTAGTATTTTTCACCAAATTTAATTATTTTCCTCTACACTGAACCTTTCCATATCAATGCCTTTTGCACCATGACTTTAAACTGGTTTTCCTTTTCTTCTACACTGTTTACATTCTTGATCGGTGCTGCACTTTATAAATGGAAATGTTCATGTAACTGCCAAGTTGCTCATTTAATGTCGAAAGCTGTTTGCATCGAAATTTCATTTTGTATACTGGATGATCATACGTCTAATGATATGCGATAAAAGTGTTTTGAGCCATCCCCTTATTTTTCTTTAAACTCAGTCTTCATGGTGTTTCTCTTTTGTTTCATTACCCCTTGAAGTGAAAGCATCTTCCTGTGAAGGAGTCAAAATATGACCTTTGTTGGGGTTAAGTTTCCCCAACTTTAACATATAAAAAATGGGAACAAAGACAGTGTAAGATTTTTCCTGAAATGCTTTGCAAACGGTAGTCCAGAGTTGACAGTCAACCTCTTCATCTCCGCTTTGCTCAACACTTGCCAGGCTTTTTTTTGAGCAGTCAACACATTACAACAGCAGGGGTTAGTTATTACGCAGTCTCTTAGACATAGCATGAACTTTTAAGATAGCCAGCATACGCTTTACAAAAGGTGTTGGGGTTATGACTTTTCACTTCTGTTTCTCAACTGAAAAACAGGAAATCATTCTTGCAAAACATTTGACCGTCTTATGACCTTCATACAATATTTCCAATGATGAGAGTAACATAGAAAAACAAATGATTAAGAGCAATATAAATGAATAAAATGGTAAAAACAACAGAAATAACTCCAACAACCTTTGAAAGGAATGGAGCTGAGAACTAGTTAGGCATATTTCTGTTCTTAGGCAGTTTCATCAACATGCAACAAGGCTATGGCAGACTAAGTGATTATCTACATTTAAGCTTGTCTTGAGATTTTACATCCCATTAAAGATAAGAAGTAATAAGTAAAAATAATTCTAAAAATACTCCAAGACAAATTAATGAACATTAGGCACAGTAAACCAACATACAGTGCTGCTTGAAAGTTTGTGAACTAGTTGAGTAGTTTAGATTTTTCTTTATTTTTACCATGATTTTCTTATTTTTTCATCACCAGTTTTTGTATATGAAATGTCAGGTTTATGTTCATCAATTCCATTCATTTG